GTAGGAAAATAAGACCCACCTTGTTATTTTTGGTAGCAAACTTCCTGCTAAGAAGCAGCAAATACATTTTTCTCTCTCTCGCGGGGGATCGGTGCTGATCAAAAACCTGGCGCAGCTCCAGGGGGACCGTCAGCATTTGCTGCTACCTGAGAGATGAATCACGGAGATCTCATTTCCTCGTTCACGACGAGCAAAGTGCCTGCAGCTCTTGCAAGGGCACAGATGAGGCCTGGGCTGCTCGGGGCATAGCACGATGCGTCCATCTCCTGGGGTGTTGATCAATACTGGGCAGCCCCGGAGGGACGAGCTGTGCTGAGGATGTGCAGACAGGAAGGTGTGTTGTGCAACGGGCAGCAATCAGAGCAGCCCTGAGCACCGTGCACCCTTGGCTATCTGTTTGTGCCTCCAGTTTGCTAATGACAAGGGTTATGAGTTTTCCCATGTGTGCGCTATCGTAAGCTGTTCTCAGTGCAGTGGAAGCCAGCCACAGTCTTCTGTTGGCTGAGCAGGCTTTGCCTTCGTTGCATTTCTGCTCTGTTGGTCCTCAGGTGTGCTCTGCACAAGGCTCAGGTTTTGCTTCTGTGGTGTTTCAGAGCTGTGCTGGGATTCCTTGCAGCAATGTTTGGAGCTGCCCCAAAACGGCCCCAGTGGCAGGATGAGGCTTGGCCATTTCTCCTGGTCTGGGGCCACTGGATAGGCTCGTGCAATGGTATGGCTGAGTTGCCAATTAGGCTTTCTTGAGTGTTTTAATTAAAACACCAGGCATCAGTCTTGCTTGACCCTATGGTTGGGTGGGTCCTGCTGAGTGCTTGCTAAATTTGAATGTAAAATCACAGAGACTTTGGACAGCACTCATTAGGATGATGATGACTGATGAACTCAGCTGTAAAAACAGGCTGTGCAGGAGCACCAATCCACGTTTATTTTGCTGGCAGAATGGGGCTCTCCAGCAGTTGCCCTGTGATATTAAAGCAATCTGGATGCTTCCCTAGCTGGGAAGGCAGAGGAGTTCCTCATTTCTCTGCAATCCCTGGTGACTGCTGAAGCCAGCACAGAGCTGTCAGTGTGTTATGGATAGAGTGTGAGGGTTCTGCTGGTCACAGGAGCTGGGCTCAGCATTGCAAAAGTGAGAAACTGAAGTTCCATCTCAGGGAAAAAGAAATTTAGCATTACTGCCGGGAATTGAACCTCGCAGCACTGCCTTGACCCCCTGGATTGCCTGGAGCAAAGATGTTGTTGCTTCAGGTTATGATGAAATGGTGGAGAGACCCTGCAAGAGGCAGGAGCACAGAAAGCAGAGATGTGAGGTGAGAGCTGGCTGGTGTGTGTCATTGCATTGCCATCCCTGTCCAGTGGAGATCTCCATCTCTTTAATCAGAAAGCCCAGTACTTGGATTGAGCATCCTGGTGTGGCCAATGCAATGATTTCCCTTCCTCCTTCCATATCACTGTACAGTGGGGCGAGTCTTTGTTAGAGCTGTGCTCAGCCCCTTTCACAAATTAATAGAGAGCATAGGATGAAAAACCATCTCAGGGATCACACATCTCAGTCCTGCAAACCCCGAGGGTTCAGTTCCAGCACAGGGAGCCGAGCCCTCGGGATACATCAGGATGGAGTGATTGAGAGAACAAAGAGGAAAGCAAACGGCGGCTGTTCCTGTTGGGTCCCCGAGCTGAGGGCAAGCCGCCGTGAGTCATCACGAAACCATCTGCGTGTCGAGGAGACACACGGGGCTCAGTGCAGCCCGACACACTCGCATGGGAAGGAGCTTCGCCTAAAACCGGCGTCTTGATGAGAACCACTGCCCCCCGCAGGGCCCTGAGCTGCTGCAGGGGCAATGGGAGGAATCACTTTGCTTTGCACATCCCACTGTCCAACCCTGGTGCTTTGCACATCCCATCGCCCAGCCCTGGGGTAGCAGCTGCAAATGTAATGGGAGGAAAGGCTTTGCACATCCCCTAGCTCCTCATATCCATTGGTTTTGCTCGTGATGCTCCTTCTGCTGTGCTTGGTTTCTGGGACAGCTGCAATAGGGCTGCTTTCCTGGGCTTGGATCTGTGCTGGAAGAGGAGACAGAGTGCTCAGCTCTGCTCTGTAACACTTAGCATTGACAGTAACTATTAAAGGCAGTGCAACAGGGTGGAAATGAGCAGGTAGAGGGCTTTAGCAGTACTTTTGTAGGGATGTTTTGATGTATGGTGAGCCCTTTCTTTTTTTCCATTTGCCTTGCATCTTGCTACGCTCTTCAGAAAGAAAGGAGTTGGTGATAGGAACCTGCAAAGCACTGATTTCAGTCACATGGGGCTAAAATCTAGGGCACAGAGAGGCATTAGCATGGCCCAAAAAGTTAAAAAAAAAAAAAACACCATTAAATAACAAGTGTTAACTGTAACCACAACTGAAATCGGGAGAGTTCCAAAAGCTCTTGCAGTTTTGATTTTGTCTTTTTGGTGCTTCGGTGCCCTCATGGCACTGAAATTTGGGTCCCCACCCTGTGTGGCCATTTGAAATGGTGCTGGTGCCCAAAGGCACGCTTCCTCCCTGTTAGCAGAAGAGTGGCTTTCAGGAAAGGTTCCAAAGAGGATAAGATGGAAAAGAAAAAAACCAGAAGGAATTTCTGCTCCAGTCATGGGCAATCTGATGCATTTCCTTGGTGAGTTCCCCGTTTGAAGTGATATTTGCTTATGGAGGAAGGAAAAGCTAACATTTGGGTATCCCAAAGTCCTCTGGAGTTTGTGTGCTCGCATGTGAGCGATTGAACTGAAGCAGTGGTGAAACCACGACCGTTTCAGCTGTGCAAACCCTGCATGGATGCTCTCCTTCTCTTCCCTCTGTGCTTTCCTCGAATCCAGGTGTCTTTCTGATGGAGAAAGGAAGGATGGAGCAGCCGCCCTCATGGCAGCGCCTCATAGAACTGCTGGTGCCCACAGCAGTGATTCACCCGCACAGCTCGCCTGTTTCACCATTAAATCATCTGACACTGGGGTTGTGCAAGCCTGGACTTTGCTGGTTGTCCCTATCCCTGCTTCCGTGCCTCAGTGTGTGCCCTGTGCTCGAAGCACGGGCTGTTTTGCTGGGCTTTTAGGGAGGAAAATAAAGATTAGGAGCGTTTTCTTGACTTTGCTGTTGGAAGGAAGCCCTGTTGGTGGGTTGCAGTGGGAGCTGGGTGGCTTTCCACGCAGCATTGGCTGCATGGTGGCAGCTCAGGTCAAACACTCTGCTGAGTCTGTGCTCTGGTTGGTTCCTCAAGTCCTGCATTGCTTCACCCTGCGGGAGCTGAGGCTCTGGTGAACATCCTCCTCCAATTCTTTTCCCATAGGGCTTAATGGTTATTTCTATTGTTTTAATTCCTACATGGTTTGTCAGCGTGCAACCAATACCAGACTGCAATCTTTGCAGCAGCACTGCTGCCCGGTTGGAGTAGGTCATGCAGTGGGGATGGGGCTCAAGGAGCCCTCAGGCAGTGGGGTTTTGCTCTCAGGAAAAAAAGAAAAAAGATACCCAGTGAGGAAACCATTTGCTTCCGTGGGATAAGAAATAAAACCAACAAACCAAACAAGCAGAAAACCACCGCCTGTGAGAGATGTGACAGTCCCACGCTGTTACTGTAACACCCAGACAGACTGAGATTGGCAGGAACTACATCAGCACTACGTGGTGTGGGATAATGAATGCAGCACCGCAGCCAGAATACGGCACAGCACATCTTGGGGTGCACGAGCAGCTGCAATGCCAAAGCCCTGCTATATAGAATACCCATTCTGTTGTATTTCTCCATAAGGGCTGATGTTTGAGGTGTGTGCTGGTGGGTTTGGGGCACCCAGTGGGCTGCAACCTGTCCTGATGCATGCAGCACACGTAGGGGCAGGATGCAGCCTGCATGGTGCATGTGCCACGTTCTGCTTTGAGGTGGGTGTGAGTCACAGCTGTGACTTGGGATGGTCCTGCTGTGTCACACTGCATGCTGCTGTTTATTCTTCCTCCTTTTCTTTTTGTCCAGCAGTGGGAGAGACTGCTGTGGATAGGGATGGCCAGAGGGCACGGCCAGAAGTGACTCACAGCATTGCTCCTCTGCTGGCACTGTCATCGTCAGTGAGGGATTCTGGCTTTGGTTGCCCAGACAACATCTGCAGGGATTTCCAGAGCCTCCTTCTAAAAACTCCTTGGGGATGAGACGTGCACAGTCACAGGTTTGTGTGTTTCATCCACCAGGTCAGCGTCCTGCAGCAGACATCCCTGTGTTTCGGTGACAAAACAGCACAGACACACAGCCTGCACGCAGCCCCAGCCCTTGGGTGTCACAGCTGTGCTCTGTGTCCTGCACCGAGCTGCTCCAGCAGCTCAGGTAACTGGAAACCTTCCTGCTCTGTACAGTACGAGGCATCCCATCCGCTTCCTTCCTGTGGTTATTTCAGCAGAGTGACTGAGCTTTACTGAAAAACTCACCGCCAAGCTGACTCAGCCTTTTCCCTAGGCAGGGGCAGGTGCTGAGCTCCCTGGGCTCCTACCTGGAACTGCTGTGTGCCCAGGGCAGACAAGTCGTGTGGAAGGGGTGAAATTGCAGAGGTGGATATTGGCTGGTGGGGTGGAGGTGGTATCTCCTGTCTGATCTGGGCTCAAGGCCTCGTCCTGATGGAGAGCAAAGTGAAGCCGTAGGATGATTGAGTTGGAAAAGGCTGTAGGATGGCCAGGTCCAATCCCACCCCATCCATACTCTGCCCACTGACTGCATCCCTCATTGCCACCTATGGACTTCACAGGGCAGAGTTTCTCTGCCATAGCACAATGGCAAAGGGGTTTGTGCCAGTGAATATTTCATTGGAAACTTGCATTTAAATGTGAGTCCCCTGTGTCTTCTTCCTTCTCTGATCATTAATGCATGCCTTGAGTCCTTGGTGATCCTCCCTGCATGCACCCTTTCCCCATTGCCTCCATACATTGGTGATGTACAGCCACCTTAACAGCTTGGAAGAAGAGAGGAGAGCCTTTGTTTGCCACAAGGTCTTTATTAGCAAAAATAATATCTTTCTTTCCATGCAAACTGATGGTGCATTTCATGCAGTGACAGCAGCTGGGGCTGTGCCCACTTCCAGTGAGGATCCAGCAGTGCCCTGAGCCAACAGCACTGCACTGGGAATGCTTCCCATGGGGATGCCCTTCCATCTCCATACGCACCAAAACAGAACAAATCACATATAAATAGTCACTTTTCAGCAGTAATTTACAAAGTACAGGAAAGCAAGCAACAAACTGGCTGTATTTCATCGTCCTGGGGCACAAACACTTCTAAATATTAGAAGCAAACACCCTCCAGGTCTTGGGATATTCCTCCACCTCCTCTTGCAAATTAGAAACGAAACCAAGTATTGCCAGCGCTGCATGCGGCTCTATGGATTTGAATACAAATTACTCAACCCACCTTAAAATGGTGGTGAATTAAATATCCTCTAGCTTCTAAAAATTAATATATATATATATATAATAAACACTAAATAAAACTCAACAAAGGCTGAAAACTACCTGAGTTAATTCTTCAAAGTGCAGAGTGTCCAACCCAGCAGCTCTGGAAGCCAGTCGACAGCAGCCTCTAAATCAAGTTCTATTAGAACCAACTGCTTAATTCCTACCATTAATTCTCTTTGACCTGGAACAGCATACAGGCTGGGGGAAATAGCCAGGGTTAATTGAGCTATTGCTGAGGCAGTCACGAATTGTTTGCTCTCACACGGCTTTCCATGCAAAGCAGGAGAAAACCAACCTGCTTTCTGTTATTCCTGGTCGTTTTGCTCAGTGCAAGGCCGTGTGATGATTCTGAATGTCTCAGTGCCCAATTGCAAGTGCAAAACCAGAGATGGGGACATGGTTACGGAAAGAAAGAGCTGATTGCTTAAATAAATCATAGCTGCAAAGAAGAGGAGCAGAGGGCTCAGCTGGTGTTTGCAGTTGGGCTTTGCTGAGCCCTGAGCTGGGTTTGCTGCTGCCCAACGACTGTGCTCAGAGCAATTGCATTCAGGGTGAACTCGGCTCGTTCCCCAGAGGGATGGGAGCTCTGAAGGGACAAATGCCACAGCGCTATCATAAATGGTACAAAGCACTGACCAATAAATAGTGCACAAACCAATAACACAACGTTGTAAACAATAAATAGTTCACAAACCAAAACACACTGAGGTATGAGGCGAAAAAAGAAATAAATATTAAATTCATTTGGAAGGGAAAAAAAAAAACAACAAAAACACTTAAATAGAAAACTGAACGTTAAGCTGCCACTGAGCTGTAAGCCTTGGGCTGAACCCCAGCACAGCACGGCGTGCTTCGTAACACCACAGGGTTGGGCTGAGAGCAGCCGCCTGCGCTCACTTCCTCCTCCTCATCAGCAGGTACTCCTCGATGTAGTTGATGAAGATGTCGAACTCCCCCATGGCTTTGTAGATCCCGTTCTCATCCATCTGCAGGCGAAAGGCAGCCCGTGATTCATCGGCTGCACGCGCGGTGCAGAATCCCCAGCCGTGCTCTGCTTCCACCGAAACCTCCGCTCTCTCCCCACCCACTGAAGGAACGCGGCGGCTGCTCTGAGCTGAGCCGCGCTGCGTCGGCACAACTTTGGCACCCTCTGAGTGCGTGGATCCAGCAGCAAAACCGCCCTGCAGGCACCCACCTTCTCGAACGTCTCCTTGATCTGCTTGATGGCTTTGCTCCTCTTCTCGCAGGTGAAGAAGCGGTGCTGCAGAGGTGAGAGGCGGTGCGTTAACTCAGGGCTGTTCCTTCCTGCTGCTCCTGGGGTGACTCAGCCCATGCTGCGTGGTCACAGCAGCTCCAGCAGTGAGGATGCCAGTGCATGCAGGCAAGGGTTGCATTCCCCACCCTCTCCCCCTACGCTCTGTTAGACTGCATCAAATGGTGCTCTGAGCATCCTCCCTATTGCTCTGATTATCAGGTATAGAGAAGGGCAAGGAGAAATGCCACCCCAATGGGGTTTTGCTTGTTCTAATTGCTCTGCCCCCCTGGCTCCTGGCCCCATCTCTCTTTCCCAGGAAGACCCAGGGACCATTCCTGCAGTACAGAGCCCACTCACACAGCGCCTCATCGTCGTCTTCAGGTTCAGCAGCATGCTGCCCAGGTCGCCCATGCTCTGCTGGTGGCTGGTGCTGGTCTTCATGGCGCGGGGCAGAACCTCATCTGTGTAGAAGCGCAGCATCTCTGACACTGACTGGCAGCCAAAGTTCCCCTGGAGGGGAGGAGAGAGTATGCTGATGGCAATGCTTTTGCAATCTGAACCCCAGCAGCACTGCTCAGAGGCTGGGGATGAGTGTGCATCAGCCCTGCTGCAGGCACCTTGCTGGAAGGAGGGTCCATGGGCCGCATGTGACAGTGGGAAATATCCCGAATTAGGATCATTTTCCTTTGGTGGAAGGATGCAGAAGGGCAGTGGACTTGCACTGAAATAGTAATCCTTACCTTAAATTCATCCAGCAGTTCAGAGCTGAGCAGTTGGATGTTAAGTTCATCGTCTCTGGATTGCTGTAGGAGAATGCAATAGAAGAAGTGCTTTATGCAGGCAGCTGTGTTTTCCTCTTTGCCTCACTCGAGGATTGCTCTGCCTGCTTGCATTTATGCTTTAACCCCACTGCTGGCATCCCTTGAGTCCCCTTTTCCAGGGGCTATCTGTTCCTCCAACTCCTGAGCCCAGGCTGAGCTGATGCTGCGCAGAGCATCACCCCATGGCACCAAAGTGCTCAACAGCTTTTCTGAGAGGTAAGAAACTTTCATTCCTGATATTAATTGAAAGACTTGCAGCAGGCTTGAAGTCTTAAATCCCACTGATCGTGTTAATTTAATAACTAATACAAGCCATGCCACTCATCTGGCTTTTAATCTGGAGAGTTATGTTCCTTTATTGCTAAAGCATGCTGGCAATAGCTGAAGGAGGAACCCTGGGGTGAGCACCCATCCCTGCGGCCCCGCAGCACCAGCGGGTGCTCAGTGCTGCTCTGTATGCAAAGCACTGAGATTTGTCACAAGGCAATCACTCAGGCTTCTGTGGCTCTGTCAGAGAAAGTCTGTAGCAAAAGGTTTCCCTTTTCAGACAGTGCTGGCTTCAGTGAGGCCGGAGCTCATTGCCCTGAAGAATTTAATCCCTTGCTGCTAAGTCAGTGCATGATTTGCTCTGCAACTTTTAGGGGGAAGTCTGCACAATAAGGCTTGCATTATGAAATCTCTCGAGTTCATTATAACTAAAACCAGGAAGAAAAGCCTTTCGTGTTATCTCTCAGCAAGCAGTGAAACCAGAGGGCAGCCCATAGCGCAGCACATGGCCAAATCTCTTCTGCCCAGAGCAACCTGCTGCCCCCTCATCCAAACCACTCAACTCTGCAAAATGACCCCACGAAACAGAAGGAGGTGTCATACTTACAAAATAGTCCTTGATTTCCTCAAACTTCACCCTCAGCTCCCGCAGCCGGATGGGCAGCAGCTCGGAGGAGTGCAGGCAGGTGGGCTCCAAGCAGTGGGCAGGCAGGGTGCAAGCAGCCAGCAGCAGCAGCAGGGCCTGGCAGCAGCTCTGCATCCTGGGGTGTTTATCCTTTATTCTGCTGCTGCCCTTGGTTGGGTGCCACTGGAGGGCAAAGCACAGCTCTGCAGACTTCACCTTGATGGAGCCCCTCATTTATACTCTCAAAGCATCTCAGTTTCCTTTCCCCGCTTCCTGACGAGTGATATTAAGGGTATAAGTCACTCACTCAATAAACCCAAATGTCACTTGGGTTTCCCGTCAACTTTGGGTTTCCTGTTCTCTTGACCCCCCTCCCCTCCTCACTACCCATCAAATCTTTTGTGCTTAGACTCTGCATTTTTTTTTCTATTGCTTGCTTCTTGTAAATTTAAATGAGGCGACAGATACAAAGCGAAGAAGGAAAGGTGCTGTGTGAGCTCACATCTGCATTTCACAGCCACTTTTTATTTTTAGAAGAATGCTCTGCTCTCGGGGGAAAAAGTGTTTCTATATTTAAGTCTCTCTACAGGTTGACACCTCTGATCCCCAGCACTGAGCATCACCCAGCAGCACTGCGTTCAGTGAATCTGTCCAGGTGCTCCTCACTCCAGCATTGCTCTTCCCCAACCTGCTCAGACACTGTCACCTCCTTTAGCACTGTGATGCAAGCATGCAACACTCTGAATCTTTCTTTCTTTTTCTTTTTAATGGAGTTAAAACAAAGTCAGTGTGATGCTCCAGCTCTCAGCCGATGTTTTACCCAGGCATTACAACGGTCAGCCCTGTGCACAGCGCATGGAGACACACTGGGGACTTGGGCTCCTGGTGTCAGTTCTGCATGCTTCCCTGCTAGTAATGATAGCAACTATCACTTTCTTGAAGTGTTTCCTAGCAGCACGTGCTGAGTTTTATTGCACTGTATCATGGGACCCACTCTTTGCACATTGATGTGCTCTGCTCACGTGTCCAAGCTGAACACGAAACCTTTTTCTTTCTTGTTCTTACATGCAATTTTGTTTCCAAGAAATGGACAACAATCCCAGCTGAGCCCCCAGCTCCATGAACTGGGTGTGCTCTCCTCCCCACTGATAAAAGTGACCATTGCAGTGAAGATATCTCCACTGACGTCTCTCTTCCGTTTTCCTTTCTTTCATGCTCTCTTTCTGCACAACTTTATGCTTGTTTCCTTTTGGTGATAAGGCTGTTATCCAAGAAAGAGAAAGCAGAGATTAACTTGGCCTTTCTGGGGGCTTCTTTGAAGGCTTTTCTGCTATCTGGAAGTGGCATTCTCTTCATGCTGCCTCCAGCTTGTTGCCTGGGACAAATCACTCTGATTCTTATTTCTTTCACTGCCCTGAGCCTCCTTCAGTGTGAATTTGCAGACCTCTGTGAAGGAGCGTGTTACAATTAACGCTGGAAAAACGCAAAGCATTCCTTATACCATATATTTAGATTTCATTTAGAAAATGAAAGAGAGGAAAGTTTTGTGTTAGAACATGCATGAGTAAGGGCAGATGAATTATGTATTTGTAATCAGGTGAGGTAACTTCTCTAAACACAGCAGTGAGGGGTTTTGCCTGGTTTGTTTTCCTTCTGTTGGTGTTGCACCTTTCCCAAGGGCCGGGAGGGAGAGTTTTCCCAGTGAATCACTGCATGGGCACAGAACTTCTATCTGAATCAGAGCGCGTCATGGGGACCGTGCCCCGCTTTTCTTCCCCTGTTTGCGTGCCTCGGCGCGGTTTCTTCCCTTGACCACCAGCAATGAGGTTTGGAGGCCATGAGGAAGGAGAAGGGCAGCAGCTGACTCAGACCAAAATGTGTGGTGTTAAACATAACCCGTGTCACTGGTGCTGTCTCACAGCTCTGTGCTTTCACCCCAAGCTGCAAGATCTTATTTTGCATCCACTCCAAGCTGCCTCAGGTTGGTAGAGCCGTGCGAGCAGGACCTGGTGGCGTCTGAGCTCCAAGGGGGAAACCAAAAAACCAAAACCTGACGTGGCAGCACCTGGATCTCACCCCGTTCTCTGCGTATGTGCAGCTGGGGCCAAAGCGGTGATTTCAAGCCCCCTGGGTCGGTGCAGTTTGGGGAACCCTGCTTGCAGACCGGGCCACGCTTGCAGGGCGGCTCAGGGCTGCGCTCGCGGTTCGGCGTCGGCATGGCGAGGCTCGGGCTCTGGCCATGGTGCTGACTGAGGGGTCCCGGCCCGGGGTCGTCCCACACTTTCCTTCCTGCCCGAGAGCTGAGCTCATGTTTCCAAACTTCCCTTCTTCTCAGCAATCGTTGCTCTCCGTGAAGTCATCTCGGTTCGACACCCAGACCATACTGAGCAGCTCCCTTATGCAGTTCCCTCCTCCCTGTTTTGGAACCTGCTTTGTTTTTCAGCTGCACAGCGTGTAAGCCAGTTGCGTCCATTCCACAAAGGAAACTGCCCTGCGCACGCACGATGCTCGCTGTGTTTACCTGTGTTTCCTTCACCATGGCAGAGATTTTGACGGTGCAGTTTCGCTCTGACTCACCACTGCTTACTGCTGTGGAAACGCATTGACTCTGCAGTACTACGAAGCATTTGCATGAATGAATAAAGCACCTTTCCTAAAGAGTGTCCGAGGACGTGGGTGTATTTCTAAACCTTTAGGAAACAGCTTTCATGATTGCCAAGAAGATCATTTCAGGAAGGAAATGTTACTCAAAAGCCTTTTGCACTCTTTGATGCTGGCAGCTTCCATAGGGGCAACTTCTCCCATTTTTTTTCCCCCCTGGGTCTCAATCATTGCCTTTGGACAAGGGAACATGGTGTATTTTATGCACTATTATAGATACAGCTGCAGGAATTGCCTAGATTTCCAGGCTGCTTAGCAGCATGTTTCTTACCCCAAATTCCCCACTTCTCATCCATTTCTATTTGCTGTCAGTGACGCCAGGGAAGTGGAGGCTTTGCTGCCCTTCATTCACCCACTACAAAACACCCATTGGCTCTCTGGGCAGCACCCTCTCTGATGACTAACAGCTCCTGACGCATGAAACACATTGCTTTTCCTTCATGATCTTTTGCTGTCAAGGTACAAAATTGGACTTTTCACTTCTGGAAAGCAGCTTTCTAGCACTTGTTGGAATTTGCAGCTTGACTCATCCCAACCTCAACAGGTAAATCCCAAATTACTCGATGGCAATTTAACCCACGTCATTAATTGTATCGTCATGTAACCTCTAAGAGTCCCAGAATCGATTACTAATCATGAATAGGCACTTTGTTGTGACCTCTAATGCAACTTCTACTATGACACAGTCTTACATAAGAATTTCTTGGTAGGTCCTGAACTTCCATTGAACTAAACAAAACTGGAATCCTATCCTAAAGACATTGGGCAATGGAGATTTTGAACTTGCGATATCTTTTCCGATGAGGTGAAGGAGTGAGCTCTCAAAAGTCATAGAACTGAATGGATTTTTCTAAGTAGAGTCTAAATAGAATTTCTAACTGGAGTTTCTAGAGTCATTAGGAATGGTGCTGAGCACTGTTCAGTGCTGTGTTGTTTAACCAGCAGCAGCTCAGCACCAAGCAGCCCTTCACCCAGTGGGATGGGGGAGAGAATTGGAGAAAAAAAAGAAAGAAGTAGAGATAAAGTAGAAATTAACTGTTTTCTAAGGTAGAAAAAGAAGAAAGAAGCAGCAGTAATGATGACAATAATATACACCCAAGGAAGTGATGCAGAATGCAGTTGCTCACCACCTGCTGATCGATGCCCAACCAGTACCTGAGGAGCAGCTGCCACCTAGCCAGCTCTCCTCTGTTTTATAGCTTTCAGCAAGATGTCATATGACACAGCACATACCTTTGGCCAGTTAGATCATCATCCCCCCCTACACCCCTCGCTCCTTGTCTCCTTGTGCACTCCAGCTCATTTCCTGCAGGCGAGTAGAGAGTGCAAGAAGCTGGAAGACTGAAACACCCCTGACTCTGTGCAGCACTGCCCAGCAATGTCTAAAAGATCAGTGTGTTACTAATATAGTTTTCCTCCTCATCTCAGACACTGTGAAGGAAATCATCTCTGCCAGCAGGTACAAGACCAGCATGTCATGGTGAGCTGCAGCTGACAGCACCTTGGTGGTGCCACCTTCCCAGCCCTGCGCTCCCAAATGCTGGGCATGAAGCCGTGGGGTTTTTTTTTGCTCATTGCATGCAGCAGAGCAGTTGAGAAATCCTGGGTTTTCTCTGCCAGCCCATAATGCTCAGAGCAGCACGTGCTGGTTGTGATGTACTGTGGGCACGCGTTGTGCCCGCCGCCCCACAGCCCCTGGGATTCCCCCCGTGCCATTGTCACCTGCCCCCAATGGCAGTGGGATGGAGTGGGGGGGACTGCCCATCTAGCATTGCTGTGAACTGGGCACGGGTTTTGGTGACATGGTATCATTGGACAGCATGTGGTGTCCGAGTCAGGCTGAATTACAGCTGATATTTCCAAGGCAAAGCCAAGGAATGAGTTTCATGATGCAGATTCCCAGTAAAGTCACCCCAGATTTGCTGCTGGCACTTCTGCTCCTTCAGAAAACGATGCAGGAAAATAGAATTGCTCAAGTTTTTTTCTCTCTTGCATTTTCTTTTTTTTAAGCTGACAGCGTGAATTTAGCAGCCACTTTTTAGTTCCCTCAAACTGGGAGATACATGGTGACCGTGGGCTGCACTTTGCTTCTGTGCAACATAATCAGCATTTGACCCCCTGTGTCAAATGTAGGCAGAGATTTCTGAAAAAATATAATGTCCACACGAATGCAAGCATTCTCATTAAATGTAAAGTACTTCCTGCTGGGTGCTTAGAGTGCAAACATGCAAAGATCAGCAAGAGGAGAGCTGCAGCAGCGCTGCTTTCCATGTCCCTTTGGACATCTGTAAGTGGGAAGTTGGAGATGAATCTGAATGGTGGAAACCCCCTCAGTGCTGAAATAAAAGCTTAAAAAAAGAAGGGGAGGGGGGGAGGAGGGTGGAAAGAAGAAGAAAACAAATCAGAAGTGAACTTCCCCCACTGGCTGCTCGGGACAGAGAAGCGTGGCCATTTGTTTTCTTTTCCCCCTGTCTGACCACATGTTTCCAAAACTGTGAAGTCGAGGAAGAGCTTTTGTTGGTGACTTTGTGTGAGGCAGAAATGTGCCTCAATGGATGGAGTCACCTTTTCCAAGGGTTTGTATGGAGAGGCACACGATGGGGGTGGGACAATCCCTGTGCTCTGCTGGGGAGTGCAATGTGAGCGAGCCCTCTGAGTGGTGGAATCCTTCCTGGACACGTTTCCCATGTTGATTTGCCCCATTTTTTTTTTCTTTTCACATTTCCATTAAGAAATAATATGTGAGATGGGAAATCCTTCACTCTCTCCCTCCTTCTGTGCTCCTCCCTGTGGGCACAAAACCTCGAGGCTGCGAAATCTACACCCTGAGCTGCATTCAGGGCAATATTAACCCCAAACTGAAACTTGCATGTGAGCATCGGGTGATGCACAGCTCATGCACTGAAACGTGTTTCGGTTTTGGTGAAAGGTAAGTGGATGGGAGTTCTGCCTGACCATCGGGATGATTCATTTGTTCCCCAGATAATTGAAAAATCAAGCTGATAGCTGTCAGTTTCTCCTTTATTAGGCATCATTTAGTGCCTGCGCTGTCAGCACGTTTCGCGCTCACAGGCAAACGTGGTTCTATGAGGCACAGTGCTCAAACGTGGGGCTGAGTGAAGATATCTGAAAGAATGCAGCTGGCAGCTGCTCCCTCCTCTCCTGGACGTCTCTGCTCAATTCTAAAGCTGCACCATTCAGAGATTTGTCTGCCCAAAGCCTGCAGGGAGCAGGGGTGACTTGGTAAAAGCAGTCCCTCTGGGTACCAGTTTCCACACTGGCTGCACCCGATGCATATCACAGTATTTCCAGGCTGGTCTGGGCTCTGAGCAACCTGATCTAGCTGCAGACGTCCCTGCAGGGGAGTTGGACTCCATGATCTTTAAAGGTTCCTTCCAACTCTAAGGAGTCTACGATTCTATATGGCCTGCTCTTACTTATGGAGGACATGACCTCCATGTGAGAAGTGATGCTACATTCCAGGGCTGTCATTTGTATTGTCAAAATGAAGAGCTTTTCCCCTGTTGTGGCTGTGTTTTATTTCATCCCCCTTGTTCACCCACCCCCATCCATTGCAGGGCACCCACAGACCTGGGCACTGCTTCCCTTCTCCAATGTGAACTCGATGGGACCCCTCCACACTGCAGGAACACACGAAACACTGCAGTAGATGGTAACAAAAAAATGCAAATCCTGATTGCAGCTCTGGTTGCAAGAGAGGAAAAAGGTTTGAAATTAGAACCAAGCCTATTACACCCAAATTCGACAGGGAAAATGGGTATGGGGCCTCTTGTGGGTTTTGAAAGTAGAGGTCAGTGTGCTTCAATTGCTTTTCATGCACAGCTCTGCCCCCAAGGAACACTCTATAGTACAGTTTCATTTCCCCACGAGGAGCTGAGCCCCGCTGCCATTGCAGCTTTGTGTTGCTGCCTCCTCTTGCCTTGCATCACTGTCACCATTTGTTAGACAAGCCCAGTTGCTAATATGTCAGACACCCACATCAAAAAGCTCCTGAAACCTGCTGGAAACTGAGAAGCCTCATTGATTAAGGCTGGGTTTAATTTCGTTGGCTGATTTGAGTCTCTGATATCAGAGATGTGTTTGAGAATGGGTGCGTAGCTCAGCATGGGTGCTGAACTTTGCACCGTGCATCAGTGGGAGCTTTCATTCATGCTCAGCAGCAAGGCAGTTTTTCTCAGGCTCTTTAACCCCAATTTGTGCTGCAATGCTGATTTTCTTAACACGATGGGGAAAAGGGAAGAAACCAACCATCAAAGCTCACTGTGAAATCTTGATGAGACGATCACGAGCTCACCGTGCGCTCAGGCAGGGACTGCAAAGCCTGAAGGAAACCCTGCAGGCTGCTGTGGGATTGGGGCAGGAGTTCTCTGAGAGTAATTTGGTTCCTCATCCGGCTCCTGGAGTTGGCAGGAGTGAGTTCCCTGCCTCATGCACGCCTGGTGCACCTGCCAGGATTATGATGTTGAGACGTGCCTTGTGAGTTTCCCTTTGAGGAAGATGGAACTGATGACAACCAGAACACGAGTTCATGCTTTATCAAAGCTGGGTTAGCAAGTATTTAACCCTCACCACCCCCCACCCTCCTACTCTGGTGACTAAATTAATGGTTTTCTTCAGAACAGCCTTGTCAATGCACAAAACCCCTCCGCAAAGATGAATCTTAGAGGAAAAAAACTAAAAATCTCTATTTTTTTTTTCTTTTTTTCTTTTTTTTTTTTTTTGTATTTATTTTTAACCTCTCTATGTAAAATCCTGGCTTGGTGGCAGCACTGCCAAGAATGAATCATTTGTGTGACATCACACCGGCACGGTGAAGGGGGTGGCTGAGGCAGCGGCAATTTCTGTGACACGCAGCCAGGATTTGGGGGACAGCCAGCAAGGACAGCAGGACCCCCAGAACATGAGAACGTGTGGGGATGTGCTGTCGCTACCCTGCTTGGCTGAAAGAGCTGCAGGGTGATGGCGTCCCCCAGAGGATGCT